TAATTTCATTTTTTTTGTAATTGTGAAGGACTTTTAAATATAAAGGACTCCAGGAAGACTAGTAAACAAACATTGTATTACTAATGGAGATTCCTAATAAACATAAACATAAACACACGCTCAGCGCTGTTCACGCGTGGCTGCATACCGCACAAACAACGACTTAATGTTAATGTTTCGTAAGCTTTTTTGGGCCCATTTTTGACCCGGGTTGAATGAACCAGAGCTTTTGTATTCTTTTCACCATTATCTACCATTTTTTCACGTTATACTGCCATGCATCTCTTATCAAAATGCTGCTCTTCATACGGTCAGCAATATGGCATAGACCATTACAAATGTCACCGACTATTTATATTACTGCCATTCGTTGAACGGAGATGTCTTTATGTAGTGATCCATTCGTTAAAGTAACCGGTTCAGCGTTTCTTACGCGGATGAAGGACAGGCTTATGAGCCCGCTGTACCATCAGATGGTAATGATGCTTGTCTAGACTATAGATATCGACTTTGATACCTTTCAAAATAAAGTGATCCATCTTGCATCTGAGGGCAATGCGGGATCAACATCAAAATTTATAAAAGGTGGTAACAGGCGTTCTGAAGTGGACTGGAACGTCTCTGTTAAAACAACACGATCGCATGTTTACGGAATCAGAATGGGGAATTTGGCAATGCGTGTTATAGAATGCGTTTTTAAGGTTTCTATAGTCCACTGGATGGATACATGTACGTGCTTCTCACAGGCTTCAAGAAAGCAGTAGTTCTCCTTGGGGTACAATATAACGGGAATATTACACATGTGAAGTGTCAATCATTCAAGAAATAGAAGCATAACGGACATAATATTTTTCCTTACCCTATAGCAGGCTTCAAAGGCGACTGGAAAGAGTAGTAATTGTCCGGATAGACTGATAAATTTCCTGGGGAGTTAGCTCAGAGCCGCGGCAAACTGTACTCCCCTGGTATGATATCTTTTGGCCAATTTCTACTCTTTCCAGCGACCTCTGAAGCCTGGTAGAGGCTGGTTACGGAGCGGATTGTAGTCTCTACCAGACTAACTACGCTGGCTATATATAGAATATTTGCCAGGGGAGTTTGGCCGCCTTGTAGGTTTGATTGGCCGCGCAATCAAGGAGCGTAATTCCGAGGGAATTCCGAAGAATTCCAAAGAAACTACCTCCCCTTGGCCAATTTTACTCTTTTTTCCCCGAATTCTACGATATCCGTATTCCCGTAGGAAGGCAGGTGGAGGCTAAGCGGATTCAGTAAAAGGGTAAAGGTGTATAACAATAAAATGCCAATACAGAAACATGATGCTTGATTGGCAACTTCAGTGTGTAAAGTTAACCACGAAAACGTGTACCTGTTCACAGGGGGATAGCGGCGGCCCGCTGGTGTGGCTGACGGAAGGACAGCACCTGCTGATCGGCTTAACCAGCTGGGGAGAGGGATGTGCCAGGCCCAACCGTCCCGGTGTGTACACGCGCGTCACCAGCGTGGTGAACTGGATCAAACGCATCATCCATATCAACTCCTAACCACGGGTCGCCTCTTTCCCTCTCTTCAATAAAGGTTATTAGAATGTTGATCAGACGTGTGCATGTGTCAGTGGATGGGTCAGTGGTTACATTCTGGTATCTGATGAGTCGTCCTTCATTCTGATTACCATGTGCTCTTCAAGGTGCCTCCATGATTAGACGAATGATGAAGAAAGCTGGCCGTATGGAGAAGAGCTGTGTGTAATCTGCGCTGTCAGTGCGTCATGATCATAGAGTCATCTCTGATTGTGTAAAGCAGACTCAATCAGTGCCAAAAAATGAGGTAATCAGAAGAACGCAATCACCCATCATATCTCTTTACCTAAGCCAGAAGGTTAATTTTTTGGTAGCATTTGTGTGTGTGTGTGTGTGTGTGTGCGTGCGTGCGTGCGTGCGTGCGTGTGTGGTTTAGCACGATAACTCGAGAAGGTATGGACGGATTGTCATGAGACTTTGTGGGCGCGTATGTCTTTTTATATTTAATTACCTTTTCTGCTTTGTCAGTTCTTGACGTACATATGACGTACAATGGTCCTTTTCACAATACAAAGGATCAAGTCATTATATCATCGCTATTGTCGAGAAAACCAGAGTCGTGACGCAAGAACGTTATATCATCACCCGTATAGCCAGCGAGGTTAGGTATCATACTAGAACATAGCATCCCTATTAAGCAATCAAACCGAAAGTTCACATCCATTTATCAATCTCAATGTTGGCAAGTTCAAGGGTACGTTCATCGATTTCATTAAGTTTCGCGAGTTGGTAACCTTAGAACCACCTTTTTTAATTCTCCGACCTTTTTTAATTCTCATAGACTGCTATGGGACCGGTGAGGTGAGGACCTGACTTGTTGTTTTCATGTGCACTCACTATGCTGATTGGAGAGCCCCTTACATCTAACCGCCTTCCCCTAGGGTCTTTCGTTCTCCAGCTAAGCTTCCAATATCATTTCTTTTCAATTATCTGCCATATCCCCGGGCAATATAAATGGAAACGGCGGTCCATGTAATCTTCAGCCATGTAAAGTATTACAGTGGAAATTAAGGCCATCTTTACAATACCAGTCAATAGAAGGGCCTGGGTCCCAGTTGTAATTGGTTGTTTTCAAGAGCGGATGTGCGGCAAGCACATCTTTCTTTTTTATTGAATCTTTTTGACTGCTCAAATCCTCTTCTAGATTGGTTGTGATTGTTCAAGCCGAGGTGGAGATATGATACACTTTCTTCTGAATAGTTTCTCTGGCATTGACCACATTTATGGTTGAGAAAAATAATTACATTTATTTCATGAATACTGCAACGAATCTGGCACTACGCACTACATGTATATACGTGGAAAATCAAATAGACAACCAACAACTATCAATTCACTCCGGTCACAGGTTTCATCAGAGAAAGGCAGATCGGTATAAACACTTGCCATTTAGGGTGGAATATATTCCTGTCGCTGCCTCTCACATACAGTCTAAAACACACGGTCTAAA